AAAGGTAGGTTATTCAGTGTCCAGGTAAATCCTGAACCCTTCCTATCAAAGGGCTGGTGTGCAGGGATCGTGTAGGGCCCTGTCTGTTTCTTTTGAAAGGACAACCCTGGTTCAAGGATTTTGGGGTTACGTCTTGGAGGGTTTAGGACACAGGCTTCAGGATTTTAGGCTTGAGTACTCTGGGGATTCACACAAAGCGCAAAGCGTTGATTCGTGGCAGAGCCAGAGAAGCAGGGCCGGAGTGCAGGGGAATCAGCGTTTCGTCGTTTTGGGCTTTAAAAGGCCCAAAAATTTGATTCCCCCGCATGGGTGCTGTAGCCAGAGAGGCCCCGGGGCGGGAGCGTGGGGGAATCAGTGTTTCGGCGCGTTGGGCTTTAACATTGGACAAAGCCTAAAGTGCTGATTCCCTGCTGCAGTCAGCGCCAAGACGAATTTTGGGGTGAGGTTACATTCAAATGTCAAGTGCTAAGAAAGCCCAGGTGCATGTCAAGTTATCATTCTAGTTTGGGGCATGATTTGTGTCTGTGTTTCTGAAGGGGTCATGCTGAAATCTGAACGCCTAGCCGTCGACACTTTGAGTTGGCACAACATAGATATCGAGCCTTCCCTCTCTCAGAAGTTCATCCAGGTTTTGCACTTCAAAGTGCTGAATGCCTTAATGTGGCCACATTGCTGAGTGGGTAGCGCCAAACACCGGGATTCGAAGTTATGTGTCCACTTGCCTGTCCAATGTTACTGAGCATGTAGCGATGCCTCACGCCCCCACAGACACTTGCACAGTTGGCTTAGGAACGCCTGGTCAGGATTCCTCAACCCTAGTAACCCTGGGAGCCCAAGTCCCATCGGGTTGTCGTCAGCCTAGGCAATCTCCGAAGCGCTCGGAGCAGAGGCATCGAAGGCGCGGCGTGCAAAGAAAGTGAAGGTCAGATCAAGGAATGTGTTAGATGCCAGCACGGAGCAGAGGTTATAGACAAGCCGCCAACAAAGAGCTCTCTGTCGCATCTAGAAGACGGCTGGTATCTGTGTAATTAGTCATAACGATGATAAATGGTTTCGCACGTGAATTTCGTGTCTGCTTTGTGAGTGGGTGTTGCACTTCGGCCGGAGCATCTCGAGCCGCTACCAGCCACGGTCTGTGGCCCCCCAGTTACTCAGTTCAGGACAGCTCGTTTGACAGTTGTTTTCAGGTTATAGGCTTGCTGTTGTAGTGTCAGAGGTTTCTGTTGGAGGTTTCATGATGTCTGGTAGGAGGCAACGATGTAAGACGTGGCAGGTAATGCAGTCTTCTTTTGCGGATGTTTGAGCTCCTTGTCCATGCATCCCACACATCCGAGACCAGGCTCACCCTTGGGCACTTGAGCCTGCACCGCAAGCCTGGAATCGGCGTAGCATCGCAACCACACCAAATCAGCAGCCTTTGTGAGTCCTAAACCCTACATTGGGCCCTACATACCCACAAACCCTGAACACGGCAATCGAAACTGACCCGTTTCCGGAGACCCTGAAGATTCCAGGAAGACCCTCAGGCTTTCAACTTCTACAGTCTAGTTTACCGGATCCCCGTCCTACACCCAAAGCCCCTCAAATTTATCGCTTGGAGGAGTACGAAACCCCAAACCTCCTTTGGTTCTGCCCCCAAAACTCCACGGGCCCAGAAGCTTTTAAACTTTTCTGGCAGGTCCAGGCCGCAGCTGTTGAAGGCCACGGCGAGAATCCCGTGAAGGTGAGGTCGGGGTGCGTGTAGAGTGTGGGTTTCGGTTAGGGTTTTGGGTTTGTACAGTTCAGTTTGTCTCCCGAAAGATGGTGAAGCTGTCTCCTTCACCTCGCGCGCGAGGCTACTGCAACTTTCGTGCCTGGATTCGCTCAGTGCAGGTTGTTCTTTCAAGATCCAAGGCTTGCGGTTGTGGTTCTTGGCGACGTCATTCAAGAAGTCCGATGCCTGAAAGAGCTTTCCGACACGCGCCTTCCGAGCTCAGAATTCTTTCGGAAGTTGTGATAGTCTCGCATGACTGGACATGCTCTCATTCTTCCTCTTCCCTGTGGCATTTGCCCTTGCCATCAAAACGGAAACAGCAGTAGCAGTAGCAGAGTCTCAAAGTCAACAGTACTTTCTGCCCCCCTCGTCGTTATGCCTGTGCAAGCAGTTCCAGTGATAACAGTAGTTCGGTGGTAGCAGTGGCAGTAGCAGTAGCAGTAGTTGCAGAAGGAGAGGAGAAGGAGCGGTGCAGCAGCTGGCATGGCATTGACGCCGTTTGTCGCTGTTGTGGTCGTCTAGGTTTTGGGGTCGTCCTGCTTCAGACCGAGAAAACTGGTAGCTTCCATCGTGGTAAGTACTCACGGGCTTATACCCTTTTTCTGGACGACAAGCCCTCACCCCCAAAGGCCTTGAAGCAAGGACCCGCTGGGACTCGAACACAGCGGCCGGGGGGTTTCAATAAACTTATGTACTCTGAGGGTCTACCACGTCTGCCATGCGGCGCCCTGGTGGGTATGGATGGTCTGGACGGTTGGCGGGTGAGAGGAAACCGAACAAGGATGCACAAGCCGACCGGGGCAATGTCGTACGAGAGGCTCGAAGATGCCCCTTCGCCTTTCTCAAGCCTGCTTGTTTTCAATCTTCAGGTGTTGCTGCCGCAGTACCCCATCCACCCCAACCTGCTGAGCATCGATCACACGCAGCCGGCGAAGCTGCAGGATCCTGAGGCAGAGGACCTGAAACCCCAAATTCTGCAGATGAGGTTGATGTGATTGGGATGTAGGGATGTAGGTTTCGGAGCCTTAGATTCTCGAGACTTGGACTCTGAGATATTGCGGTCTATAGTGACGAAAACATCCGACCGATCAGCGCAGGCCCCCGACGAAGGGGAGGAGGTGGCGAAGCAACCATACGTCTGCGGCCTGGGTACTCACGGCTTTGCAGGGGCTATAAGCTTATAGGTGAGGATCCCGCAAGATTTACATGCCTTCCAGTATAGGAATGCTCTGAGAGGTCACGACACGACCCGAGCAACCTTAAGCTATAAGGGGCGTCAGGAAAGTGCTTCTGTCCGTCCGCAACCCTTAACAACCGCCGAGGGCTACATGCCAAACTATCCGGGACCGGGAATGGCGCCACCGTCGACAACTCAGCTATCGCCGGTAGGCATCGCGAGGAGCAGCACAGTGAAAATGTGAACGTTGAGAAACCCGAATCTCTCGTGCATTTCCCACAGCTCTTCGTCTCATATCAACCAAAAGCCCTGAAAGGCTGAAGCTACTCTGAAGCTGCCCCGTGACCAATGCTTATGAATGAGTCCAAAACCCCCAACCTTATGGGAGCTGAGCGCTGCGCTTCGAACCGCCTGGCTTGGCTCACCGAGTAGTGCTGGAAATGATGATATTGCGAAGAGCCCGATGCACCTCAACCCAGGAATAGTGATTGCTCAAACCCACATAGCTTCGGAAGTCGTTTCACCCAGACCTCGAACCATATGCCTCGCCTGCAGTGTCCGAATGTGAGTGCCGAAACCTACATAAAAGAACTTCTTGCTGGAATCCGTGCCTGCTGCGTGCGAGCGCACGAGTCGAAGCCCACACAGACAAACGGTTCTACATAGTTCAAGGAAGATGCTTCATAAATTATACTACTGAGAAGCCTTATACATCGGAGCCAAAGCAAGGGCCACCTTGAGGCCTCGACCGCTGCTCTCC